GCAGCTTATTTTATTGTAGTCATTCCAACAGTACATAAACACATCGAAAACCTTAAAAAATAAAAATAATAGTACAATTCCTCATTAAAATGATCATCATATGTAAAAAAAGATGTCCGTCCGTGTTGTAAACATGTATATAGTGGGCTGGCTAATAACCATACCCCAAATATACATACCTTCCTTTGTAAGCAACTGGTCGCTTTTCTGTTGGGTTCCCTGTGTATTTACTTACACAGGAAACCCAAAGTGGAAAGCGCAAAGATTGCTACAATTAAGGAAGCTTGTGATGTAATCTATTCAACGACGAGAGATTCATTAGGGGTTCATCAGTTCCTACAATCATGTGTTACTCTCTATAGAAAGATGAAAGATATAAATTTATTATTTGTTATTGTTGTTTATTTCGTGTGAATAGAGACATCACTTTTGTCACATTTTGTTTTTACAACATCTTATAAGATATACTTTACAAATATTATGGACACTAGAAAATGTAATCAAGTCCATCAAGTTTATTTTCATGCATGTCCAATGTTTGGACTATAACTTTGCTTATTGTTATGCTCTTGGTCTAAAACTATTGTTCTTCAATGACTATAGTTTCTAGTCTCTACCCTCCCAGTATTAAGTTCTATCTTTGGCTTGGGCAGAGGAGCCCAAAGTTAAAAACGTTATGAGTAATATGATGTGAACATTATGCAACGACAAGGAGTTGAACAGGTTTGACCAGAACCCTAGCGCCGTACATCACAGTTACCATGGCAGTATCACTTAAACCAATCCTGGCATTGGAAGGAGCCCTGAAAACAACCCTGAAAAACGCCGATCTTTTCCCTCGAACTCGACGACGATTTCTTCTAACAGGGACCACATATCCTAGCCTGTCCTTGGCGGATATCTTGATCATAATATTTCTGGCTTCACCGTTGAATATATGGAACGTTACTGTAGACATCTGCCCTCGTCGTAGTGTGAAGTCTTTATCAGACCGCATTACCCGCAGTAGAACGTGTTTGGGTTCGATTACGTTACGTGAAACGCGTTCAAACGAATTTCCAGCCTTTGTAGTGCCTTTGATTTTGAGCTTAAAGGGTTGAGAGGGTGGGTTGAGTGCTGCTACATAACGCATTCCTCGTTTATCTGGATTAAGCGTGACATCTCTGATGTGTTCTCCATACTTTGATATTAGCTCTAAGGTAACTGTGCTTTTCTGGACTTTTCCGTGGCCGGCTAGGGTCAGGATTAGCTTGGATTGGTAACCTAAGAAGAAAAACAAGTTATAAACTCTTCACTGTTTTTTCTTGCTATTGGTGACTAATCTCCGAAAAAAGCAGATATATCGTATAAACGTTTTTCCATTTATTCATATTCCCATGCATCCATTTATTCAGTTTTCTACTTACCAATCAAAGGGTCTGATACAGGTACATCTGTGACAGGACCAGGCATCGATTGGATAAAATAGTGTTCAAAGTCGATGTTGGTATCACTAGTGGATTTCACATAGTAAGTATGTTTTCCACTAGAGGATGGGATGACCAATGYCCAKGTACCTACTAATGGCCGAGTCATCTCGTAAACAGATATCTTGGTCATGGACGTTTTTCCTGATGTGATTTTGACACCTTGNGACGGACAGTCTTAACGCCTCGTTGGCTCCAGAGTTAAAGACATAAAACTCGACTTCAGACCTTTCTCCTCGGCGCAAAGTGAAATCTTTATCAGATCGCACAACTCGCAGTAGAACGTGTTTAGGTTCGATTACGTTACGTGAAACGCGTTCAAACGAATTGCCAGCCTTTGTAGTGCCTTTGATTTTGAGCTTAAAGGGTTGGGAGGGTGGGTTGAGTGATGCTACGTAACGCATTCCTCGTCTATCTGGCTTGAGCGYGACATCTCTGATATGTTCTCCGTGCTTTGTTATCAGTTCTAGGACAGTTGTGTTTTTCTGAACTTTGTCGTAGCCAGCTAGAGTAAGGATTACCTTGGTTTGTTGCCCTAAGGACAGGATCAAATTTATTATGAATCGAACATTTGATCAAATTTACACATACTTTAAGAAGTTTCTCATCCATTAATTTCTCATCTCATTATTTATCCCTYCTATTAATCTATTTATTCATTTTTCCACTCACCTATCAATGGGTCTGATACAGGAACATCTGTGATAGGACCAGGCATCGACTGCATGAAGTAATGCTCAAAATCAATGCTWCCGTTTGAACCACTCGACGACTTCACAAAGAAATTATRTCTTCCAACCCTTTGCGGGACTACCAAAGACCATGTTCCTACTTTAGGTTTCTTGATCTCGTACACCGATACCTTAGACATGGATAACTTTCCCTTCGTAATTGTTTGACCTGGTGAAGAATATGAAACAGAACAGTTAGAATGATGATTTTTGTCGTTCCTCTTACAAATGAAAATGCATGGGCTATAGCCCACCAAAATGGCCAAAAATGTCCGATTTTTGATCAAAATACATGGGCTATAGCCCACCAAAATGACCAAAAATGACTGATATGATTTTTGATCAAAATGCATGGCCTATAGCCTACCAAAATAGCCAAAATTGACCGATTTTGACCAAAATGCATGGGCTATAGTCCAACAAAATGGTCAAAAATGATGGGTTTTTGATGAAAATGCAAGAGCTATAGCCCAAGAATGGCTGAAATTAATGGGATGACCCTATCTACCCCCTTTGTTTCTTCGAACAATGTTCAACTACTGACCATCAGGGTCTTGCAGTGAGATAGCCCGTCCCTGGTTTCGACGTTTGGTTGTGACAGACACAGACATCGTGTCAATCGAGTCATCAACCGTGATGTTGTATCTCTTTTCAGTAACATTTTGATATAAACTGTCAGCGGTACAAATGATGTTCGAGCCTCCCAATACACTTCCGGTGAAGCCCGTTAGTTGGCGCAGTTCCTGGTGGTTAAGAAGATCGAGTACTTGACCGGAAGTAGCGTCTGCAACTTCCTGAAATGGGTGGTAATCGCGTTTTCCACAATCGTCACCTGAAAGACAAGAGTTACTGGCCAATCAACTCGTGCTAAGAAAGAATGACTGTTTTGTTTTGGACAATTGAATACTTCAATCAAAGCTCTTACCTGTAGTAAAAAAGTTCACAGTGATGCCTTTAGTTTTGGCCAGTTCTTTTGCCTCTTCGATATTCGTCTGGGAATCGTCTTTTGCTGAAGCATCTGTAATTACGTACAGCGGTGATCCCCATTCAGGTCCCTCGTATAGTGCATCTAGGATCCCTTTAAAGGCTAGTTCTGGACAGTCCCCACCACCAGTGGCTGTCAGACGGGAGATAGCTTCAACAAAATATGCACCCTCTGAGCTGTTTTTGAAAATCACTGGACCAGTTCCTGTAATTGGGAATCAAATGTGAATAAATGAATGCATAGATGACAACAATGTTAACGATTTAATGACAATTTTAACGTTAATTTTCAGTAGATTTTCAAACGGTATAAATTACAAATGTCAAAAACTCCATTGCTATAAGGCATACTTACTAGGATCGTTGAACGGTGATAATATATAGCTAAC